AATTCAAGCTATAACATTGGTAACAGTCATGAGTAACCACCCACAAGATTAAAAACAATTGAAGCATGGAGACTGAAAATCCTGAAGCCATAAATCATGTTTCATTGAAGGATCAGAGCATCACAATACCAAACAAAAGGCACTGGCACAGAAACAGAGCCATGGAATCTTCCTGCCCTGCACCGCCATATTAGCACACAGGACCTGCTAGCAAGCTACAGTCAGATAAATAACTGGCTCTAAAATGTGTAAACACTGCATTTTTGCTAAGAGCTTCAATGAGTTACATGTTTCCACACAGCAAAGCCAATGCTCCTGAGTCTAAATGATGAGGCCACACATGCCAGTGTTCCTGGGCAATATGGGGGACTTTATGAAAAGGATACATGATAACTTCCTTGAAAGTAATATGAGGTTCCATCAGTGGGAGGGTCAGTAGGTAATGATTCTATACACCCTAAACTCTATAGAGACAAATTTATCATGCATAACTAATCCAATAGCCTTAAAAGACAATAGACTTTGTTCGGCCTATTTATAAGTTATTTTTATTTTTTCCTCAAAACTGCTCTTGACAGAGCATGATACTTAAGCATGACACATGCTAATAAATGAAATGCCAGTTTGACTACACGTGCAGATTTCAACATCTATAGATTCTGAAACATTTGACATTTGATTTTTCTGAGGATAAAAGAAAGGAGTATGTCCTTTCATACTCAGAACTATGACTTAAAATGACAAATAAAATTCTCTTTCATTGTTTTCCAAATTTAAGAAGTACATGGTTCCTGGATTGTCACAGGCCTGCCTGTACATTAGGAACCATGATTCATTGTAAAAGAACTTGATGTTAGTTGGTGATTTCTTAAAGTGGACAACTGTTTCTCAACATACAGTCCTCTTTTGTGTGGCAGTTTAAATGGAACTGTGTTTAGCTGTTGTTCCAGTGATGATGCATCTGCCTTAATGAAACACCTGAAAGAACAAACACAAAACATTTTTATTAATTAAAAACTTAATAGATGGTGATGAGCAGAAAATTGGAAAATGCATCAAATTACCAATTAAAAGTAGTCCTGAATTTACTGGGATATATATGTCTCTCTCCAATAACTGGAAACTATTTGGCCTGAATTCCACTGCTCATAAATTTTTCAGACATCCCTAGTCTATATTATACTTTATGACTGTTTATCACATTTGTTCTTGTTTCATACTGTTGTTATTGTGAAATTTCGAAGATGGATATGTATCTCATTTTTATTAATTAGTTAATATATTAATATCTACTGGGCATTGAAATGAAACATTGTCTGGGAATTAATAACAGGCAAAGTTTATATTTTTGTGGAGCTTGCTAAAAGCAAGATGCTGAAATTTCAAAGGTGATAGTCCGCAAATTCAGGAGTGATAACTGATTCACTTTGCTTTCTAAACAACACAGCAGAGCTTCTGGTAAATATCAGACATTAGGGAACACAACTTATAAAGAACTATTATCTTGCAAGCTGTTTACTTCTTAACTACACTGCATATTCATAGTGGTAGACACTGGATAGGTTGGAAGTTGCTAGTTGAGTCAGAAAGTTTTATATTGAGACAAACCAGTTACATCATAGTTATAAGTTAGCAAACAGTGAATCTTTAAGTTTTATTTAGAGTTTCTCTGAAGCTCACAGAAAGCATAAATGTGAACTATGTTTAAAAGAAAGATGATAGTAGTTTTATCCACATAGAGTCCTTACAGTAGCTATTCCCCCATCATCTGAAATGCAGTTATGATATTGAAAGAAAAAAATGACCTTTGACTTCCAAATTACTTATTGTGTATTCTCAATGTGCAATAACATCTTAGCTTTTAGAAAACCTATGATATAGAATGCAGCAGAAAATCCATCAACAGAAGGGTTGCATCTAGTGTCCATATTCAAAATCTTGTGGTTGTATATAGAATAGACCACACATGTTAGTACTCCCAAACACACACATCAGCACACATATGGACATGCTCATAAATACATTCATGAGCTCATCATGGAGCTTTCCCTATTTTCTTTACTTATCCTTCACATTTTTAACTCAAATGTTGCTTCCTTAAGATGAAAGTTCCAGAAACTTTAGCAGCTTCTTTATACTCCTAACAGTTTCAAATCACCTTCACTTTTCCATATTCAATAGTCATTATATTTATGTTATGTTATGTAGCTTAACCCAGTAGCAAAATGCCAGGTGTCGATCCTGAGCCAAGAAATAGTGACTGTATGCTGTTAACTTGAATATATAGAAAGCTGACAGTAATGAGGAAAGAGAAAGTCCAAGTGTCATGAGACTTCAACAGTAAGAGATATAGCATTTAACGGGACTGTTCAAAACTGCTCTGTGTAAATTCTGAAGTATGTTAAGGGTGTATAGAGTCTCATAGTCTCACAGTGTGTGTGTAAAGATGTATTACAGACAGACATGAACATGAATATCAGAAACAGCAAATTCATTAGATGTAATGGGAATGGTGCCAGAACTCATGCAACATTTAGGAACCCACAAAAATCTTAAAGTTTATTTCTTAATCAGATAAAAGGGTTCATATAATAATAATAAGAATACATGAATACAATAGAAGTATAAAATTTAATTATAATATTTTTTGGAAGAAAAGACCCAGCTAGATTAGAGTACTTATGGAGGCTGGTTGTCAAGAAGCCCTGCATTTGATACCTGTGTGCAACAGACACAGTTTCGATTAGATCCTAGAAGAGAAAAGGTGATTATTAGGCTGAAAATGTCCTCCCATCAAAGAGGACAGAAAGACAGGCCGAGGAGTGTCTTCAGATTTAATTGTCTATCATCAGTTTTCCTTGTCTCCTCTTAGCTTACAGAAGCCTTGAGAGAGAATTCCTTCAGGAAGGACTATGGTTGAATGCTATAGGGTGACAGTGCAGAGCCATTCACATTGATTTAGGTAAGGTTTGAATAGACATGAGGAGAGCGACTTTGGAAACACCCAGGTCAGTATTTACTCATGGTCTTTAGGTCCCAGATGAAACACCTTCAAAGTCAGATTTATGACTTGGTCTTCCCCCAGAATTTTAAGTTCTAGGAGGGGGTACTCTATGTTCTCACAGCTGTACCATCGGGTCATTGACACAGCTATGTAAGAAAACTGGAGAGTTAGACTCTTATAAAGGTATGAAAACTATTATAGTTAGAACGTTGTCATAGAGTAAGCCATTCCAGCCAAAGACAGAATATATGGCAGATGCATCCATGACGGATTGATTTTTCTACAGAACAAAACAAAAGTAACATTTCACACATTAATTATAGCCTAACATTTTGTAGTATATCTCAGATTGACCTTGAACTTGTTATGTAGCCAAGGATGACCATGAACTCCAGACTTTCCTGCTTTTAGTTCCTGAGTTCTGGCACCACCAGGTTCCTGTTATGCCATCTGGGAATTGAACCTAGAGCTATCATGGTAGGCAAGCACTCTGTCAACTGAGCTGCTTGACTCAGACCTAACCACAACGTATTTGAAAGTTAATTTTTAGGATATTTAAATTTTTGTAAATCAAGACATCTTTGCACACATTTGTAACTGTAAACAGTTATAAATATTCATCATTATAGGTTATATATTTGTAAGTATCATTAATTCAGATCATATACAAAGTCACAATTAGATAAGATTACATACTGTGAACAGAACACAGCTGTTGTGAACTTTCCCAGTGAGTGGTTTTGCAGTTAGGATTTCTCAAGTCTCATTCTAGTAACTCAAGAAGAACATGACATGCTGACTTTATTGGCTGTAAGAGACACTTAAACCAACCAAGGTAAAGGCAGACATTCACTGAGAGGAGGTATCATTTGTATCACTTCCTAAAACAAGAAATCAAAACAGATTTGCACATTTTCACATTTATATAACTTACTTTAAAAACTTTTTAAAACTTCATTAGATTTTTGGATACATTTTCTTAAACATGGTGAGTAGTTAAGTATTGAAGTTTATGCCACTGTTACCTATTTTTCATGTCCCTTTGGAAAGATACATCTGAAAATAGCAGAAAACTTATGAATTCCTGCCACTGGTGATATGGAGTGGTCACTGCACTTTTGATGAGTAAATTTGCTGGTTGGCAGTATTTCATAGACTTCCCATTGTCTGTCTGCATTTCACAGACTGTCTGCTGTCTCTGTGTCTCAAAGACTACCTGTTGTCTGTCTGTGTTTTATAGACTATCCACTGTCTGTCTGTGTTTCACAGACTGTCTACTATTTGTCTGTGTTTTATATACTGGATTTCTTGGACACAGAGTACAAGATGAACTAAAGAGACATCCCAAAGCTTCTAAAAGTTGGTCTTCTTACTGAATAAGTTGAAAAGTACAAAAATAATGTTCTATCACCAAGGATACAACCAAGAATCTTTAAAAGGCACTCAGAATTTTATAGCATTGATGTTCTCCTCTTCAGACTATGACAAAACTCTATTGTCCTACACCATGGTATGAAAACTGAAAGGTGTCAAAACATAGTCAGTTAACTGGTAATTTCAGAAATGCTCAAAAATTTCACAGTACCAGTGAAGTAAATTTAGGACAGAATGTTCAGAATAAAGCCTCCTAAGCAGTTTAACAGCAGTTGAATGGTTCTTTCTTTTATGTGAGTCCCTTCTAGGGCTGAGTTCAAAAACTTGGTCTTAGAGTAGGCAAAGATCAGTTTAAACTGGCAGTTTGAATCAGCTCTTCCTGCTGCCAGCTTCTTCTTAGCAGGGATGACAGTCAGTATGAAAACATCTGTTGGATGGTTTTGTTGATATTAACCAAATCTTGATTTTCCCCCTTCTCTATTTTGTTGATGTTGCTGTTGTTTTCTGTTCCTTTTCCCTCACACTGCTTAGATCCCTGACTATAATTTGTTGACATGCTGCTCTCAGTGTCTTCCTCAATGCTGGGCTCACATTTCTTTCTCTTTTGCCCTTTTCTTGGCAGCCACCCTTGTTGGAGTCCTCACACTCAAGAGGACTTTCAGTGCACCAGGCGCGGCTAGCTGCGGTGGCCATCGATGGATTAGAGAATCATGGACTGATCTCCGGGAGCCATTCTTCCCCTGCAGCCTCCGTGTCACCTCACCCAACAGCAGACTGTCCTCACCAGCCTGCCTCTACCACTGGTAGGGATCCCTAAAGACCATTTAATAGGCGGAAGAAATGTATAGTTCTTGTAGGATTAGACGATTTAAATGCTCTGAATAACTCTAATAGCAGAATGCTCCATTTTTAACTCGATGTAACCCAAAGTTTATGAGGTTATGTTGGCCACAAGACAAACAGCACATCTGATAAATCTTGGGCTTAATATTAATAGCCTCATAAATTGTTATCATTCGAGGGCCTGGAAAATTCATCAACAGGTGCATGGATCTCCCTAGAAATAACCTCCCTACCACATTCTTCAGCAGTGTTCTTCAGACTCTTACCTTCCTAAGATTGGCCACAAAGAAATTTATGATGCTTGGCTTCTGCATTTGGCTCCAAAGAGTATCTTCTCTCATTAATTTCTTGTTGTTTTGCTTCAGTGCTTTTTTTCCCCTGAATTCCCACACAAATGGGAGTCAAGGGTACCAAGGCAAGCCTTGCTTAAATCTGTGTAAGTTAGTTGCCTGTCCATTCATTATGGTACCTCTGGGTGGGCCTTCTGACCAAAATCATCTTTGCCTTCAGCCATGTTTGCTATTTAAGAGCCTGGATACAGACAAAACAAGAATGTAATTGTGAGTCCAGAGAAAGGTCAGGTCTGAAACACATGCCCAAAATGGGGCGTGTGCCAGACCTTTGTTCTTTCATTATGGCTGAGCAAATGAAAGATATTAAAATCCTGAGAAAGTCATGGCATGGGTATAGCAAACGGGAGTTTATATGTATAATGTTCCCTTATGGGTTTAATGGGTTCTCTGATTACTTTTAAAATTGTTTTTCAGAATTCAGAGCTTGGTTTATAGGCATCTGTGATTTCATGCAAAACTTTGAGCTTGAAAATGCTAAAATGCCTTTTTGGAAATCATGTTCCCAGTCCTTGATATGATTTATCATTTTTTAACTGTAAAAATCTCTTAATGGATTTGCAAGGTTAATTAATTGGTGGTAGACATCTTTCAAGGGAGTATATAGTGTATATAGGAGCTAATTTGATAAGGAATTATGCCAAAAGACAGTAGCATCCCACGTTAGTTGTTACAATTTGGGCATATTTCTTTTTCCATATCAGCCTCTGACCAGATTAGCTACTTCCTGCAGCTCTGAAAAATCTGCTTAGAGATCCCACAAAGCCTGCACCTGCAGTCCTGTGTCAGTGATCCTTGGGGATGAATCCTGCCTGTGCTATCCTCAGGTTTAGCAAAATTTTGCTCAAAACCAGGATGCCTTATATACAGTAATACATTTTCCTATATTTGTTTTTATTTTATGCACATTAGTGTTTTATGCCTTATATATATGTGTGTGTGTTTATATGTGTTTGTGTGTATGTGTGCTTATGTGTGTGTCTATGTGTGTGTTTGTGGTGCTTTATGTATATGTGTTTGTATGTTTGTTTATTTGTGTGAGTTTGTGTACGTGTAGTGTGTGTATGTGTGTTTGTGTGTGTATACTTGTATTTGTGTTGTGTGTATGTGTGTTTGCTTGTGTATGTGTACTTGTGTGTGCATTGTATGTAGGTGTATGTATAGTTTGTGTGTGTGTGTGTGTGTGTGTGTGTGTATTTGTGTGTATACCACATGCATGCCTGTTGCCTGCAGAGACCAGAGGAGAGCTTCAGATCCTCATGGAACTGGAGATATGAGCATCATGTGGGTACTGAGAACCAAACCCAGGTTCTCAGCAAGAGTAAGGAGTTCACTTTACCACAGTGTCATTTCTCCAGCCCTGAAATACTTTTTTAATTTAGCAAAAGCAGTAGTCTCAGTAATTACATCCTAAATATCCTTTTTTGTGTAAGTGGCTTGTATTTATCCTTGGTTAGCTATATAATGATAACTGTCCCTCTGCAATGCCACTGACTAAATAAATCTCCTTGACTGAAAAGTGTGCCTAACTACTTATTTCATGTCAGTGTTGGTATGCATATTGTTGGTTGCTGTTGCTTCTGTCCTTGACTTAGAGGAATGGTCCTTTTCTAACAAGCTTATCTTCCTTAATTTCACATGTTCTTCGGTGAAAGAGGATTCTTGAATCTTAGCGGAGTCCTATAAATTTGAGAAAATATGATGTCCAAATGGTCTGCGTGTGTAGCTTCTAGCAATGTCCAGATGAAAATGGGACTGCACAAATAATATGAACATGCATAGCTAAAACCTAGCCGTGCAAACTAAAGACTCAACCATTTTAGACCACTGATTTCTTTATCATCATGTCACTAAGCTAATATTCATCAGAGCACTCAATGTAAAAATTAATATAGAATAAATTTAAGACCCTTTCATATTGAATGGATCTTATGAAACAATTTATTATCAAATTGAAAGATTATACAAGTTTCTCTTTTATGGAACATAGAGATTTATGTTTACTTGACAATTGTCATCACATAAGTCAGTAAGATATTAACAGAGTACACAATTATAGATTCAGTAGCTCAAATTTTACACACTGAAAACTAGTAATTATTGTTCTACTCAAAATGATGAGTAGCTCATTATGTATTCTTGAGTAGAGAAGAGTCTAGTTACTGTCTTTCAAATTAAAAGATGTTGTGTCTTTAAACTTAAATTCGTATTATGGAAAAACAATGCTTCTTTAAAAGCTATTTAAAAATAAACATTTTATGTAATAACTTCTTCCCAGACCCTAAGGAAATACATATATAGATACATATATAAACCTAATGATCATTCTTGTGATACATTCACAGATATATATAGATATAGATATAGATATAGATGACATAGATATAGATATAGATATAGATATATACAACCTTATTGATCTATATAATATTACTCATATGTATGTTTTCAGGACTGACCATTTGCTAGTAACTTGGTGTGCTCTTCTAGGTTTGGGCATCAAAGACTAATTCTCCCACTCTCAGCATCCCCTAGTTGCCTGTAGTTCTTGAGGCTTCCTGGAATTTCCCCCATCTATGGCAGCATGTCAATTGCTATTGTCTTTGTTCAGCTAGTGTTTAGGTAGTCATGTTGGTGAGATTTTATGGGTGTAGCCTCTGATATTCCCAGGGGAAACCATCTCACAGCAAAGTCCTCATTTCTCTAGCTTTTACCATCTTTCTGGCCCCTCTTCTGCAATATTCCCTAAGCCTTAGGTTTGGGGATTGTATTTTAGATGATTCCTTTAGGAATGGGCTCCACAATTCTACATTTTGATTGATTACAGTTTTTTGGAATGGTTTCCATCTATTACAAACAGAAGTTTGGTTGTTGTTGTTGTGTCTGTGGTTGTTTTTGTTTTTATGCCAGATGAAGACTCCACTTTTCTGTGAGTAAAATATTTAGACTGTAGTTACGGTTTGTGCTGGTTTATTAAAGTGGAGGTTGTAGGTTATCCTCCTCCAAGATCCATGGCTTCACTAGACCTGCATAGCTGGTTAGATTCCCAATTACTTTGCATGTTTTCCCTCCTGTTGAGCAGGTCTTAAGTACGATTAGAGAGCTATTGGTCACCACCATATGTGTGCTTTTTTAGGGTCATTGTGCCTTGTTCTCTATCATTGTGGTCTGTCCCATCATAGCTGGATGGGACCATTGTTGCTTTCCCTCCTCTGAAAGCTTACATGGCACTTTCTGGTACCTTAAAAGTGGAAAATAAATTGCTGAGGACACCATTCCCTGCAGTCACAGGGTCAAGAGGCCCCTGAGCTGGAACTCACTTAATTGTTAAGGGTTACCATTCAGATTTTTATTGTATTTATTCTTACAGACTAACTGACTCATAGCCTGCTTTCTACAAAGTAAAAACCAAACAAAACCACAAAAATAAACAAAGAGAATACACATTCCATGGAGAAAGTGTCTTCATGTAGTTAGTTGCTAAGATAAACTCTCAACTCCATCCTGTGGGAATCAAATGTACTCAGTCACAGAGCTCAACAGCAGCCATAGCCAGTGGCCTGTAGAGAGACCAGGTCAAGACGTCTGTGGGACAAACAAGGAGTATATGAGCTCCTGTCACTGCCGTGGTGATGAAGTATGTCTGGTAAAGCCAGGCTGCCACAACCTCCAATGAGGTTGTTTCAAAACAGGCAGTAGTATTAAAATTACAAGACCTTCACCACTTTTATTAAGGACTGAGAATGGTGTTTATTATTTGAGGTTCAGATCATTCAAGAAAGGGAAACATATGCATTTTCTCTGCTAAAATCATGTCTTTTGTTCAGCTAGAGATTAAGCTCATCCATGGCTCACACCAGAGGATAATAGCTATGCATTTACACTGAATGTATTCATTGCAACAAAAACCTTCATAACATATTGGATTGTTTCTCCCATGCCACTCAGTATACACTGACTGCCCTCTTCCTTTTGTCAGTAGGTTACAGGACCTAATCCATGCTAATAAACTGTTTTTTATACCACTACCATTTTAGTTAGAGTTGAATTTGAAATAGAATCATTGTGATGAAACTGAACTGATATTTGTAAAAGTAGTGAAAATAATTAGATTATTAAATCAATGCTTATTGAAGAACGCAAATGGTGGAAAACATGTGCTCAAATATTTAAGTATAAGAACAGTGATGTCCACCTCCTTTCTGTCTGCTCTCTGGTTGATTTGACATGAATGAAAGCTGTTTCTCAGTCAGCTGGCTCCAGTGTATCTCTGGAGTTTCAAAGGTTGTTAAGATGTTACTTCTTTCAAGAAAACTTTCTTTCCCAACTAAACACAAAAGACTTAGTATGGTCCCTTATAACACACTGGATTGCTTTCTGTCAAAATCTCTAAATACTGTTGATTTGGGGATGGTGAGACAAAGGAGAATCTATGAGGGAAGGGGCAATTTCTCTGTTTTTGCTAACTCTAGCACCTAGGTACAGGACTAGAACACATTGAGTGTGGTGAACACATGAACCAACAAACAGCTAGAGGAGAAGTGAGTAAGCAGATGTGGGGTGAGTATATGAAAAAGTAGTCATTAGGGGCTGAAGACATGGCTCAGGAT